GACGCAAAAAATTAGACCTTTTGAGTCGGCATAGACCTTTTGCGTCGGCAAATTTGTGCCGACGCAAAAAATTAGACCTTTTTGTGTCGGCAACTGATGCCGTAGCAAAAAAAAAAATTTATAACCAAGATATATATTTATTTACTTGATTATATTTAATAAATATATTTATTTATACATATACTTTTATATTAATATTGAGTGTATATACTATAAATAATATATATCTCGTTTAATATCTGAAAGAGGTGTGGTGGTGAAGTGGGTGTAGTGCGTTGACCTTGGGTCAACTTGTCCAAATGGGTGTGTGTTCGAACCTTGGGAGCCTCAGTGAGAAAATTATGAGTTAAATTTTTTAAAACATTTAACCACTTTTTGAGTCGGCAATCTACCGTCTCAAAAAATTAAAACTTTTTGCGTCGGCAGATTGCCGACTCAAAAACTTTTTGCGACCCCACCATTTTCGTCCCTTGAGTTGCCGTCGAAACGCCGTCGCAAAAAGTTTTTGCGTCGGCAAATCCGCTATTTGCGACGGCAAGCTGCCGACTCAAAAGCCTTGCTTTTTAGTAGTGATAAACACATTTGTCACACTTATTAATTTTAAATTCATTTGACATCATTGCCTTGTCAAATTTCTCATGCCACTACTTTGGCGCTTGTTTTAAACAATATAATGATTTAACCAATTTACACACTTTCTTTTCTTTTCTGGGAATAGAAAAACCTTCTGGTTGTTCCATGTAAATTTCTTCATTTAACTCACCATTTAAGAAAGCGGTTTTCACATCCATTTGATGAATTTCTAGATTGTATAAAGATGTAATGGCAATTAGCATTCTAATGGATGTTATTCTAGTAACCGGTGAGTATGTGTCAAAGTAATCAAGACTTTCTTTTTGTCTAAATCCTTTGACCACAAGTCTTGCCTTGTACTTGTCAATTGATCCATCCGCTTTCATTTTCCTTTTGAAAATCCACTTGTACCCAATAGGTGTACAACCTGGTGGCAAGTCCACTAATTCCCAAGTGTGATTTTGCAAGATGGATTCAACTTCACTGTTGACAGCTTCTTGCCATAAAGAAGCCTCAGGACTGGACATAGCCTTTTTATAAGTTAAAGACTCATTTTCTAACAAATATGTTAGAAAATCTAGACCAAAAGATTTTGAGGTTCTAGCACGTTTACTATGCCTAGGTTCCTCTTCCTCATTTTGATCTAATTCTTGTTCTTGATCATGAGATCTTTTATTGTTATTAATCTCTTGTCCAGTCTTATTTGGAAATACATGTTCAAAGAAAGATGCATTTCGAGATTCAATAATAGTATTTACATGCATTTTGGAATGTTCTGATTTACGAATCAAAAACGATATGCACTACTATTCTTGGCTTAACCAATGAAAATGCAATCAATGGTCTTAGGACCTATCTTAGTCTTTTTAGGACTAGGAATAGTCACTTTAGCCAAACACCCTCACACTTTTAAGTATTTGTAAGATGATACTCTTCCATGCCACATTTCATAAGGTTTTTTATTCACTTTCTTTCGGGGTACTTTATTTAAAATATAATTAGCAGAAAGTATTGCTTCCCTCCATAAGTTCTAAGGTAATCCAGAACTTATTAACATGGCATTCATCATTTCTTTTAAAATCCTATTTTTCCTTTCAACAATTCCATTTTGCTGAGGTGAGTAAGGAGCGGTGGTTTGATGAATTATTCCATGTTCTTTACAAAATTCACCAAACGGTGATTCATATTCACCACCTCTATCACTTCTAAGTTTCTTGATTTTCTTACCAAGTTGATTTTCAACTTCATTCTCATATTAAATGAAAGGTTCTAAAGTTTCATCCTTGGTTCGAATTAAATAAGCATAACTATATCTAGTATAGTCATCTATAAAAGTGATAAAATATTTTTTCCCACCTCTAGTTTGAATTGATTTAAAATCACAAATGTCACTATGAATTAATTCAAGCGGTTCCGTACTTCTTTCAATTGAATGAAAAAGAGTTTTAGATAATTTTGCCTCAACGCAAATTTCACATTTATGATTTGAATCAATGTCAACTTTAGGCAAACATTCCATATTAATTAATCAACGCAAAGATCCATAATTAATATGTCCTAGTCTACTATGCCATAAATTTGAAGACTCAAGCAAGTAAGAAAAAGATGTATTATTATTAATAACTGAGGGTATAACATTACATTTAATTTGAAAAGGCCATCAGACATGTAACCTTTTCCCACATATATCTCATTCTTAGTAAGTACAAATTTATCACTCTCAAATACTAGCCTAAACCCATTCTTACTCAACAGAGATTCGGAAACAAGATTCTTGCGAATGTCCGGTACATGCAGCACATTGTTGAGAGTGAGTTCCTTTCCATATGTCATCTTAAGTACAATCTTTCATTGTCCTTCAACTTTGGAAGTTGAGGAGTTGCCAATAAAGAGTTGTTCACCATTGTCCACTGTAGAATAACATGTGAACATCTTTTTTTCGGCACAAATATGGCAAGTAGCACCAGTGTCCACCCACCATTCTTTAGGATTTCCGACAAGATTTGCCTCGGAAAACAACTGCAAAAAGATTGATGTCATCGACACCATTGGAAATATTGTCCACTTCGGTCATATGAGCTTGAGCAGGCTTCTTACTTGTTCTTTCTTTGTTTTTTGCCTTTGCTACGGCAATCTTTAGCCCGATGTCCCTCTTTGTCACAGATGTAACATTTCCATTAAACTTGTACTTTTTATTTTCCCCCCTTTAGAGCCTTGTGATGAACTTTCTCCAGAAGACTTTCGTTTCTTGGTTTTTGAAAGCATGTTCCACCACATTTGCCTTAGACTCCATAGGAAGCTTACCAGCCCGCTTTTCAGAATTGCGGTTGTCCTCCTCAATCCTCAAACGCACAATTAACTCGTCCATAGAAATTTCTTTGCGCTTGTGTTTGAGGTAGTTCTTGAATTCCTTCCAGCCTTTTGGTAATTTTTCAATTAAGGCTGCAACTTGGAAGGATTCACTGAGAAACTTGCCTTCTGCATGAATGCCATATAGAATGAGTTGGAAATCTTGAGGTTGGCTAATCACAGTTTTTGAATCAACTATTACAAAATTCAGGAATCTGCCAACCACAAATTTCTTTGAGCCGGCATCTTCCGTTTTGTACTTTTTCTCCAACGATTTCCAAAGTCCCTTTGCTGTCTTGATTGGACTGTAGATGTTGTATAATGTGTTGTCAGGCAAAGGAAATCGGCATGTTTTCAGGCATCAACCGCAGCAACCATTTGCCGGTCGGTTTCATCCTCTTTCAGGATACGAGCATCTTCGCGGAGGAAACGAGTCAGGTTCAGAGTTGTAAGCTAGAACAACATTTTCTGTTACCATCTTTTAAAGTCAGTTCCTGAGAACTTCTCTGGCTTCTCTCTATGATTTATTGGTATTGTCACCACAGGAGAGGGGTTTGGTGCAATTGCAGTCACCACAGTAGTACTTGTTTGGGCATTAACTTCAGTAGCCATCAATTCTAATTTATAAACAAAATTATAATTATAATTAGAATTTACACTACACAAAAAATTAAATCAAATTCACAGAATTAAATTCTGTAAAAAGAAACAAGAATGTAACTTTTATTTTCCAATTAATTTGGAAATAAAATAAAATTTTATTCAACCAAATTAATTCCACACAGGAAATTAAATTCTGTAAAATAAAAAAAATAAGAAAATAACTTTTATTTTTCAATTAATTTGGAAATAAAATAAAATTTTATTTAACCAAATTAATTCTACACAAAAAATTAATCGGTAACACTTTAATAATTAAAATACTAAAACAGAATTTTAAATAATCAAAACTCAGAAAATAATTTCTAAAACCCAAAATTAATTTCTGAAAAAATTTCACAAAAATATATTCTGAATTGTTAATGACACCAGTATCGTACTACTAGTTGTTGAATAAAAAAACAAATTGTTCGGCGAACCAAACCTGTGTTGTAACTCTCTGAATATTTATTCTAAAACTAAAATGAAGAATAATACACAAAATAAAATCTGGACAGCAAAGATGGGATTTTGCAGACTGATTTTTCAATCTTTAGACTGCTGGAATCATGGCTGTATTTATAGGCAAAATTACACAGCCCCGAACAGGTGCTGTTAGACTGAACAGGTGCAACAAGTGTCAACAAATACTTTCTGAAATTTCAAACAGATTCATTACAGTTATAAAACCGAATCTGTCCGTTGCATCTTGGAACATTTTTTCAAATTTTTGAAAATTGTACCGTTGGTGGAACAGTCATAAGGAACTGTTGGGGTATAAATTATTATTAAACTATTTGAATAGTTTAATCAAAAATGCATAAGGAACTGTTGGGATATAAATTATTATTAAACTATTTGAATAGTTTAATCAAAATTGCTAAAGGTGGAAAAATATCAAAAAACTGTTTGGAAATTATATATTAAATTATTTGAATAGTTTAATTAATAAATGAATAAGTACAAACTTTAATAAACCACTTAAGAATCCAAAAATTGAATTTAGATATAAATTAAAATCCCATAATAATTTTTATTAAAAAAATTCAAATGAATTTTATCTAAAAAATAATGTTAGACCCGAAAACGACGTCAACTTCACATTCACTCAAAAATGATTTTGACGTTCCGTCTTCACCGTGTGACTTGCCACGCGGCAAGGAACACTTCACTTCTTCAGAGCCACCCCCAAACATTTCACCTTTTTGGACCCACCCCAAAAGACGTTTGGGACCCACTCAAAATTGGACTAAAAAATATGCCTATATTAAATCATTTTTTCAACACTCACTTGTTTAGACAGAACTGTCTACCAAGGAGAGAGGCAAAAAATTGAAGAATAGTGGAACAATCCAGAACATTCCAAAATAATTGAGAGTGTTGAATATTTGTACATAATTACATAAATAGTTCTAGAAGCTTCTAAATACCTCCATTAAATTTTTCACTACACTTTTTTCTGATAATGCAAGATTTACAGTGCATGAAGTAGGTGTAAAAAGATATTAAAATACTACATGAACATAAAAAATTCAAAAATAAACTATTATTACCAATATAAGCCCTAAAAAATTGCACGTCTTTCTCTCCATTTTCTTTCTTTTCTCATCAAATCCTTTAATCCGAAAGAGCTCTGTCTGTAACCTTGAAAATTCATCAACTTCCTCAACATCACCCTCTTCTCTTTCAAGTACCCCAGACAGAGCCAAAGTGGGATTGCTTGGCTTCCATCTTGGCTTGGGTGGAAAGGAAATGGTGGGCCAAGAGGGAACTCTTCAAATCTTTTCCTTCACCTTTTTCCTTCTTTCCTACCAATGTCAACTAGTAGTGGTTAGTAGTGGTTTTACTTTGCAGATATTTAAACGAAACATAAATATTTGTTTTTCATGCTATCAAAATAATCCTCAATAAGATGTACATACCTCGCAATCTGGAGAAACAAATAATCTCTCGCTCTCTGTGAATATATTAGGAATCACCAACATCAACTTTTTTTACCAAACATCTTGATGGTAACAATCTTCATGTCCAGGAGAATGCCAATGACCAACTATAAATCAATTCCAAACACTTCCAAATGAATGCAGAGTCACTGAAAAAGCAAGTAAAATGCATTATCACTATGCAACCATTCTCAAAAACCTCTTGATGTTGCAGTAAGTCATTGTGTACATTTTCATGGCACGAGTAATGAAGGTTGTGATGGTTGAAACTAAGAGCTTCTAACGATTCCAGCCCGTGATGGGATGTTTACTTTCCAGAAGATTAACTTGTTCACTTGTGCAAGTAGAGTGGCATCCAATTATAACCAAGACAAGACTCTTAATAGCACAAATTTAAATCTGTACAGCATAGCACTAGAACAATCAACTTAATATAATTTATATGGTATCACTGTAGTTTGTGGTATGTCCGCAGAGTTATAATCAACCTAAAAGCCATGGAAAAATTGCTACACTTTACCACCTTGAACTATAATAATTCAATTTGAAACTAATGTCATTAACGAAAATGGATATTTTACATATTTACCACTATAATAATTCAATTTGAAACTAGTGCTTATTGTTTGAAAACACACTCTCTTACTTGGATAACATAGTTTACAAAGCTCAATGAAATAAATTTACAGGCCCTATGTAAACAATAATTGGCTTTTACTGCCATTCCATAGGGCAGAAGAATCAGATGTCAATTACACTAACAAGCATATATGCACCAGAAGTAATATTCAAAACTGCACTTACTTGATTGGGAGAAAAAAAAAATCCATAGATGTGTTAAAAAGTAGCTTCTAGGTGACAAATCACAAGACCAGTCAATATTTAGATTCAAAATATATATATATATCCAAAAGAAAAATTTAAAAGTTAAATGATAATACAATACAACGTAAATCCAACACTGTACAGTGCTTAGATGACGTTAAAATAAATTCATAAGATCAACAATAATACTAATATAATAGAAGTAAAATCATCGAGGCGCGAAGCCCATTCATCAAATTTTGCCTTAAGCTAGAGTGAGAGTTTCATGTATCCCATTCATCAAATTTTCATGTATCAATCAAGAGAACTGATAAACCAAAAAATTAACAATTAAATAGCTCATCTTAGTAAAGCTGTAGGTAAGAAGTACCAATTGATTTCTTGCACAAACTTTTTATTTGTATAATATGAAAATCTTACCCACACAATGATCACTTACAATCAACGAGCAAGTACTAACATGAAGTAACGCCATGTGGCCATCTGTATGCCCCTGAATAAAGAAAATTTTCTAAAGTTAACATGATGCAGCATGTTGTCTCAAAATGAAGAACAATAGTACATTCGAAAGTTAAATTACAGATATCCCAAGAAACATAAGGGAATAAGATGACAAAAAGTTATCGAACATACAACTATGATCAAACTGAAAATGACCAAAATCCCTTACGCATTTTGTTAAGAACTTGCGACTTATTAATCCACATATTATGGAAAGTTGACATGAAATTTGGACTAACTAACATTATCAGAGGATCTTTCTGGTCAAGGATTGTTAATTGGCCCAAGCTAGACAAATGCCCACACAAAATACCCAAGTATCAGGCTATGAGCTTAATTGGAGTTTAAGCTAATCTGCGTTTGCTCAAAACTCAATTCCAACATCTAATTTGTGTTAATATCAGGCCTGCTTAGCTTAACATGATAGCCAGATACATGGAATCTGGTACACATATCAGGTGCAGCTATAGAAGAAAGTTTAAAACTATGCTTTTCAAAAGAAGCAATCATGTAAATAAATATTACTGGGGCACAAATGACTCTCAATCTCTGACCACCAATGCAAATCCCTTCTCCTGAAACTGGGGTGTGGCCAAGAGACCAATGATCTGTACAACATGTATTCATCATAAGAGCATACATCGTTAATTTGGAAGGAAAAAGACCACACCCTATTAAGAACACCAAGAAGTAAAACACAGCTAGTCTTATTTTGGTGCAAATTGATAAATTATGCTCCAATCAAAAATAGTACTTAATTTAATCGCAAGATTTGAGTTGTTATTTTAACAACAGAAAGCATACAATATACCATGTCCATTTAGAACAGACCAGATAATGTTTAATGTTCATGATTTTATAAAGAATACTTCAGTTAAAAATGTTTTAGCAGTTTACTAAACGATATTGTGTCAGTCTAGGCTTGTATTTCCTTTAGTATGCTGTGAAAAGATTGTAGATGTTCACATGGAAACAAAATGCATAATCAATCATAGGTACTAAAAAAGTGTGTTTATCATAACAAGAGGAATGGTCATACTGACTTTAACAGGTACCAGAGGGCACAAAAATTTACCACAATAGCCGCAAGAATTGACAGCTGAACAAACCAAATCTGGCTGCCCCAGACTACCACTAAGATTAAAACCACATAAGGAACAAAGAGCCAGAGATCAAGTTCTGAGCGTTGATCAAAAAAACAAAAGAGATCAAGTTCTGAGCACTTGGTTCTTAACTCAAAACATGTATCTTTTAATTTTGTTTTCACATAAATTTTGCTTCCTTTCTATAAACTCCATCAGAATAATAAATGGGGCATCACCTCCGCGAATGTGCATTCTTTCCTCAGCCATACATTCATCGACTGTGTGCTCACAATATTGCCATAATCTATGAATGACATAACAGAGTGTCAGTGCTGGATTAGGCTACACAGAATACCATAGCGGAAGGAGAAATGATAAGGAAGACAGTATATGTTGATTCACTGTTCACAGTTTCCCTTAGCACATCTACATTTCTATGGAAAAGTTCACTTCCTGCTGATCCGGTGACAGGCCATCAGTACTTTATCCCAAGCAGCTATCACCATGAAACATGCTTCCTTACATAAAGTCTCGGGTACAAAGATGCCATAAAAAAGGAAGGCTAACAAGACCACCTCGAGTCACGCAGCAATTTATATCTTGAACCCCAGGACAGAAAGTCATAAACATCTCAATATGCTCAGAAATTAGAATCCTTTGGGTAGAGATGTTTCAAACAAAAAAAAAAGAAAAGACTGGAATTATTTCAATAGAAGAATGCTAACACATTATACTGAAGATCAGTACTGCCACCCACTAAATTATGAGGCATATTAGTCAGATACCATTTATCCCTAAAATCTGCAGTAAGGGTGTTAATTAAACTACATGGCAGATTTCCAACCATTAAATCCCACAATTCATTGTTAATCAGGATGACAATTTTGCATCAGCTTATCATTATCTACTGATACAAGGAGCCAAGAATGCTAACACTACTTTTGGATTTCTAAAAGGATTAAAGCACTTGTTAACAATGTGATGCAAGATTAGAACCGCATCTGCAAAAGACACTATTTTTGGATCACCCTCATAGAACTCTATTTCTTGTTTTTAATTAAATCGTCAATTTTGTTTCATGTGACAAAGTATTGTGCATATTTTAATGAATACCCCGAACTTCAAAATATATAAGCTATTGTTCTTAAACAGTTCAGTCAAATATCTTAATCGCAACATGACCAAGCAATCTCCAAACACCAGTGTTATAGTCTTCCACATTCACAAACTAACTTCCTAAATCTTACAAAAGTCTTCAGTCTAAGCCCCACCCCAAAAACAATAAATAAATAAACAAAATCTGAAATATATATGTAGACAGCAAGGAAAATTAAGATGCCAAGGGAGTTAACTTCTAAAATAAAGAACTAGCTATGCATACATGGCCTTGATCAAAATTCTTTCCCAAGACAAAAAATCAAGCAAAGGCCTCAAAGGAATAGGGAGGTTAAACAAAGGAAAATTGTAGGTTGTGTTTAGTTGTGTTCTCAAAATATATTTCCACCCTTTGGTTTGCACATGGTATTTGTTTACAGTTTTCAAAAATTAATTCCATGCTCACTTTTGAAAACTCTGGCCAAGGCAGGAAAATTTGGGCTAACCAGACGCTCGACCGGTTGTCCGACTGGACATCCGGCCAATTGACCGAAACAGTGCAATTTTTTTTTTATTTTTTACAATTGCCACCTGTTATTTTTTTATATTTTAAATAAAAAAAAATTAGAATTTTTTAAAATTTTTTATGAACTTTGAATAGAATTTTGAATTGTGTGTTTAGTTATGAGTTATAAGTTTTTGTATTAAATATCATATGTCACATCAAAAATTCCCCACTCAATTCAAAACTCATTCACCAAACAAATTTTCCACACTCAAATCATAATTCCAAAACTCACAAACTCAAAATACAACTCTATTTTCAAATCATATTTAGAAAACTCTATCAAACGCTACCGTAACCTTTTCGAATGCGACCCATGGTGTTCTCATGAGCCAAAAGTATAGCATCAGGATTGCTATTTTGAACGATTGATAAACCTACACCAAACCATCAAACATAAGATCATAGTCAATTTAGCACCAGTTAGGTAAAACAGCATGTAAATCCAAATCTTTTAGAAGAAAAATTCTAATAAATATTAGAAAATATAAAGTAATTAGTTTTCAGGTAATTACATTTCTACGAGGGAGAAAAAAGAAAAATTTTAGACTTAAATTCACATACAACAAATTAGACATTGAACCACAAGAAAAGTATATTCCTATCAATGTGAATTTTTAATAGAAGCCACTGAAGTCAAGGAGCATTTAACCAAAAAATAACATTATATGCAAAACTTTGTAGATGCCTGAATTTGGTTGGTGATACATGGCCCTCAAGATCGTATTCTTTACTAAGCACTAAACTCTGGCGTCAATATCACATTTACTTTCTAGTCATGGTTGCCAACTTGCTAGTGTAACAAATTGACACCATATGTTAGATGCACAAGTTTGTCTTTACTCTTTGTTCTTTAAAAAATATCTATAATCTATATTGCACAAGTGACGGAGAGTAATACCTTAACTGATAACTCAATATATGCCTCATATCTTGTTGCTGATAGTGGTGGCCATGGGCTCAATCAGGCCAGTTTTGGGTAGAGTCTATTCTAGATAATAATGAGATTTGCAGTAGCCCAAGGCCAGGCCAATCCAACATCAGTCCTAAATTATTAGCTATAGGCCTGACCCAAAAAATATAACAGGCCTAAGCTTTTCCACTCTAGACTGCATAGTAAAAAATTAAATTTTCAAAAAAGACCAAACTTATTTGGTTGCCAAGTGGTGTTGGTATGTTGTGTCAACAACTAAGTTTGGGGATTAAGCCTCACTACTCTGTTCCGTGTACAATTGATACTATATGTATTTTCCTCTAAAGAAAAAAGAATAATAGAAATATATGTATACATATTACATACCAGTGTTACCAAAAAATGCCAATATCCTAGTGAATTACGTTTTGGAACGCATGTTCCAAAACATGGTAAACTTTCATTCCAAAACGATAAATTGCAATTCGAAGCGATCCCAAAAGCTGCTTCCAATATAAATCCTTGAAAGTTTCCCCAGTAAGAATAAAAATCAAATATAATGAATTAAAATCTAATGTGAATGAAGTTTTGACAGGACAAAATGTCAAAAATGCTCATATAGAAATGGGTTTTTATATGATTAATTTAGAAGAAAAAAAAAATTACATTTTATTGGACGCCTAATTGTTAAAAGAAAATTATTCTAGAAGTACGTTAAATTATTATAATGTAATCTATACAAGTCTACCCATATTGTACCACATTTTAGAGCATGTAACATACCACATTCTCGTTCACGTTCCACATACCGGAACGATCCATGTTCCAGGTAACACAGATTTATATGCATTACTGTTATGTACAAATGTCTATGAACAATGTGTATACATGAAAGTTCTTGGGCCAATCCGCAAGCACTCTTCCCATGTCTGGGCCAAGATAGGATGGGCCTTAAAATGGCCCTTTTTATTAATTTTTCATAACATTACCTATGAATATCCTTTTCTCTGTATTGGAGAATGGGGATCAGCATGTTTGAATCCTGTGTGAAATGAAACATGTCTCCTTCCCCGTAGATCAATTTTAGAAGTCTTCCTATTGATCCTGTCTAAGTTGTGTTCATTATGACAAAAAATTATGTCAAGTTCCAAAAGAAGTTGTTTCCAGCTCACTGGTTTAAACATCAGCTAAAAAATTCCACTTGTAAAATCAGTAATAAAATAATATACATAATGATTAAAATATATGGAAAGGAACAACGTAACTGTTGCTGAAACTTCAGATATTATCCTTCATTGATAGAGAGAACAAGAAATATTCAAGTAAAACAGTGTACATAATATTTAGCAAATTATCTGTAAATGGACTTAATTCCAGCACGGTTCGACTTATTAGCCAACCAAGGCAAGAATCTAGATGGCAATGAAAAAAATGTCAAAAGGGCACCTTCGTAATGGACCAGGGGGTACCTGGTCAGACTCAACCTATATGTCAGGGCCTCAAGACCTCTTGTTACCCATAAGGATTTTTTTTAGAGAAAATGCAAGAAATAAATCGTGAAGTTTTACCTCCACAGACTTCAGACATGATCACTCTAGCAAATCCAAGATCAAACTAGAACTTTCTGAAGATTGGGCATGATGTTGAACCTGAAGATCACGTCATCACTAATTTAACCCCACCAATAGTTCACTCATGAAGCTTATCTTTGAACGGAACATAACAAGCATCCAGCATCTGCAACCACAATTCCTGTAGCATCGAGTATATTTTGTCCCTTTCTGAATGCAAACTATCTTCTGCCAAGAAAACATGGATGTTGTCTTTAACTTCAATCCAACTCTGACCAGGAACTTTCTTGACATTCCTTTGTTTCATCAAACTCCGTACTCTAGCAACATCTTCCCAACTGCAGTCAGATGCATATATGTTGCAAAGTAATACATGAGCAGCAGAGTTGAATGGATCAATTTTCAGAATATTTTCAGCAGCACATTTTCCAACCTCAACATTATTATGGTTTTTACAAGCAGCTAGCAGAGTCTTCCACATGACAATATCAGGATCAAATGGCAATTGATTGATAAAATCTTCTGCTTCATTTATACGTCCAGCATGAGCAAGCAAGTTGACCACACATGAGCAGTGTTCTCTAGAATGTACAACCCTGTGATCCATTTCCATGGTACGGTACAATTGTAAACCTTCTTCTACCAGGCCAACATGACTGCAAGCAGTTAGAACCCCAACAAATGTCACTTGATTTGGCTTGACACCTAAACTTCTCATTTTCCCAAAGAGTTTAAGAGCTTCTTCTCCATGTCCAAACTGAGCATAACCCACAATCAAACTACTCCAGGAGACAACATGAGGACTCTCAATGGAATCAAAGAGCTTTTGAGAATTTCGTAGAGAGCCACATTTCATACACATGTCAATCAGTCCATTTGTGACGGAGTTATCGAGCCTGAGCCCAGTTTTCATAGCATAGCAATGAACTTGATCCCCCATTTCTAGAGAGGCTATTTCTCGACAAGCTTCCAGTACACTGACTAAAGTAATAAGGTCAGACTTATTTTGAGATGGAAGCATCATTTTTAATAATGAGAAAACCTCCCCAGCTTGGTTGTGCTGCATACATGCAGCAAGAACAGTATTCCCAGAAACTGAATCTGCATTGCTTGTCATCTCGTTGAACATTTTAAATGTATCATAAAGATCTGAACACTTTGCATACATTGAAAGTAAAGTGTTACACACTGCTATACCTAAATCAAAACCCACTTTGATAAGGTATGACTGTATCTGCATGCCTTGATTTAGGGTAACTGGACTTGTGCAGGCACAAAGCAGGGAGCGAACTGTGATATCATCTGGGCTCAATGCCAGATGCCTCATCTGAGAAAAAAACAGCATGGCTTCGTCTGCATCACCACCATATGCAAACCCTGCAATGATTGCATTCCAAGACACTAAATCAGGCCTCTCTATCTGATAGAAAGCTGTTTTTGCAAAATCCAATAGACCACATTTTGCATACATATCACTGAGCCAGCAAACTGCAAAAGTGTCTCTCCCTAGCCCAAATTTTGTAATCATCCCATGTATCTGCCTCCCACATTCTGGTTGCAGGAGACTGCCACATCAAGCACTAAAAGCACTACCAAAAACAAATTCATTTGGCTGATAAACACCTTGAGACAGCATTTCTTCAAAATGGCTCAATGCTTCTAACTCTTGTGAAAAGCCCACAATCATTGAACTCCATGAAATTAAATCCTTTTTTTTAATACCAGAAAACACATCCAATGCATCAGCAATTTGACCAAATTTTGTGTACATTGCAATCAAAGCATTTTGTGCAATAAGGTGGGAACCAAATTCTGATTTAATGACATGAACATGCAACTGCCTCCCTATCTCAATGGAACTCAAACTTGAGCAAGATCTTATTATGCTTCCAAAGGTGAATTGATCTGGCATAAGGCCAGATTTTTGCATTAGAAAATACAGCTTTATTGCATCAATTTCTTGACCATGCTGTGAGTATCCAGCAATTACAGAAGTCCAAGAAACCACATTTCTCTTTGGCATTTCATTGAAAACCCTTTGAGCATCCTTCAAGGCACCACATTTCCCATACATATTGAGAAGATGATTTTGAAGAATCATGTCAGGCTGACAGCTGTGTATAAGGATATGGTTATGGATTTTTCTTCCTTGATCTACAGATCTCGAAGACGAGCAGGCAGATATCAGCTGGGCATAAGTGCTGGGCTTCACATGAAAACTTGTATGTTTTTGCAAGAAGTCAAACGCATCAAGAGCTTGTTTGAAAAGGTTTTGCTTGCACAAGGAGCTTATATAATCATTGATCGACTGCTCTGTCTTGAAGTGTATTGGGAGAAAAGTTGATTGGATGACAGGTTTAAGATTGTTAACAGTATATTGCAACCTGGATCTCAAGGTATTTATCATTGTTTATGATTCTAGGAAGCCTAATAAACCAGGAAGAAATTTCACCATTATTGAAACATGAGATTTTAAGGGGTCATAAACTATAGCAAGGAGAAGACAGGCAGATAGGCTTCAAAGATGTCAAACTGTAGCTCTTTCCGCTGCAATGTATAAGCAGAAAAAAGTAAGGGTGTAAAGACAAAGGCAAAGATGCTATTTGCTATTATGAACAGTAAGTAAGCATAAAATATATTGAAGAAAGCATCATCAGCATAGTTGGTTACTCCAATACTCTTCACATCACATCTCAGTAAAGTAGCCAATGCCTCAAAATGTTTCTTGAAAGAGAAGCACTACTATCCTGGCTAGATAACCCTCCCATTTTGAAAGTTGTGCACTTCCTTTCTTCACACCACTTCACCTCTATACATTGTCCATAAGCTTCTTCATGACTCCAACCAGCTGCGAGACTAGTATGTTTCATGAAAGAAGACATCCATCAAGATAAGCACATAAGAAGATAAATATTGAACAGCTAGCATAACAAGATGAATATAAAAATTCTACAAATATGCAGAGAGGCCTAAAGGAACTTATGTACATCAAGATAACCCTCCCATTTTAATGGTTATGGATGGCCCACACATATGAAAAGTATACCCAGAATGAAATCTCAGGGCATCTAAGGATTGCCAGTTTACTATCCTTTCCCCACTTTGCTTTTGGTAGATATAAAATGATTATCATTTCATTTCATGTCACAACTGTATGGTTCAAAGTCCATTGATCTTTTCATCCCAACCACTGATCTCTTTGACTCAGGTCCCATCTTGTTATCATAATCCCCATGATCAATAATCTTCTCTTCTTCCTTCTGGGCTTCACTTTCTTCATTTGTAAAATAAAGATGGTTTTTACAAAAATGGATTACAGAATAGAGACAAAAAGTGAGTCCGACTTGTGAAATTCACTATATATGTAGGACCTGCCATTTATCTCACATCTTTGTATCCCAGTGAAAAATTATCTGTCCACTTACCTCTACTCTTTTAAGTGCAAAGAGTGGCAGCAATGTTAAACAACGAAATCTAAAATTGTGCCCATTTCATACGAACTTTTTTTCTGATTGTTATTTGTTGTTGTTTTTGTTGTCGTCGTTTTGTTTTTGTTTTTGTTTTTGATTCCTTTTTTGTTTTGTTTTGTTTGCTTTAGTATTTTTAAAAAATTTCAACTCCCAAAAAAACAAAAGAAAAGTAAAAATCCAAAAAAATTGAGGCCGAACAGGGATCATCATGAAAAAACGACAGAATCTTTAACTCGATTTAACAAAAATTAATCCAAACTAGTCATGCAGCTGTACAGAGAAAAAATTTAAGCACGAAGAAATTTAAAAAAATAAATAAATTAAAGTTGCTAGTGAAAATTCAGTAAGGCGCTTAACGCAGTCCTTCAATGCTTGGAGTTCAGCTTCTTTCTCATGGAGTTTAGATTGGGCCCAATGCAGTTCAGACTCTAGCCCTACAATCTGGCTCTCTTGCTGTTCGATGAGCAAATGGACAGTTTCTGATCCAGTTCAGATGGCAACACCTCACTCAATTGACAAGAATCAGAAGTCTGGCACATCTGGTTTGTAAAATCCTTTGAAAGAAGCATCTTCATTCTGCACAACACAAATTATGTCTGTATTAAACTGAGAAGCACAGTTGTTTAGAAGTAAATTCATTTGCTAGAAGTACTTTCCTAGTGCGGTAAATAATCAAAGAGCCATAGAAACAAAAGAATCTTGTATCTCAAGGATGAGTATAAAGATATAAATGATGAGTCAATGCTAGTAAAAACAAAAATAAGGACAAAGCACACCTCACAAATGTTTGATGTTTTTCCGTCTTATCCAGAAGCTCTGTGGAGCACCGAGGAAGCTTTTGCAGTTCAGACTCGAGCTCTGCTTCCGGACGGTCCATCTCCAGCACCTCTTGCTGTGGCTCTTCTGTAAGAAGACTACTTGCACATTCACCTTCTTCAGTTACAATGACACCAGAATCTTGAACATGTATGTCTGTATTAAACTGAGAAGCACAGTTGTTTAGAAGCAAATTCATTTGCTAGAAGTACTTTCCTAGAGCGGTAAATAATCAAAGAGCCATAGAAACAAAAGAATCTTGTATCTCAAGGATGAGTATAAAGATATAAATGATGAGTCAATGCTAGTAAAAACAAAAATAAGGACAAAGCACACCTCACAAATGTCTGATATTTTTCTGTCTTATCCAGAAGCTCTGTGGAGCACCGAGGAAGCTTTTGCAGTTCAGACTCGAGCTCTGCTTCCAGACGGTCCATCTCCAGCACCTCTTGCTGTGGCTCTTCTGTAAGAACACTACTTGCACATTCACCTTCTTCAGTTACAAAGACACCAGAATCTTGAACATTGTCTCTGTTCTCAGTGCTTGACTGAGGTATTGGTTCAGTATGTTTGCCTCTAGTTTTGTATGGACTTGTACTAATTTCAGTTTTAGAACTTGAAACTTGCAGATTCCGTGATGATTTTCTTCCAGAAAACTCAGTTTTTAATTCTTGAACAACTTTTGTAGTCTCATCCACTGCCGTGTTCAGCCTACTGAGTTTAGTTGCTCTCTCTACTGCAGCGCGCTCTGCCCTGAGCCTGGCCTCTATACATGTCTTCTCCTCCATAGATGTCTTCGGTTCCAATGGATCCTCTTTTTTCCTGTAGAAATTCAATGAGACAAATTAGAGAGAGAAGAAGGAGGGAGAGAGAAATATAGAGAAAATTGAATTTACCTTTTCAACTGCTCTTCCTCCAACAGCTTCAACGCCAAATACGGAGACATTGGTTGCTGATCCTTTTCTTTCTTGCTCTTCCTCCACTGAGGGAAACATTTCTTCTTCTCGTCTTTCTTTTCTAGGTCTTTCTCTCTGTTCTGTTTACTGTTCTGTTTCGCTTTCGTCCCTGCTTTCTTAGCTTTCTTGGCGGATTGAGGCCGTGAGAGGCTCTCATGGTTTTCGAAGGTGGTGGTGGTGGTGGTGGTTGGGATGGTGGTGGTGCAGGAGAGGAGGGGGAGAATGCCGGAGTACCAAAAGGCGGCAAAAACCTTATTCATCTTTGAGAGAGAGAGAGACTGTAATCGTGTGTTCTGAAAGAGAATTAGGTACAAGGTAGTAGTGGTATCACCAAAAGGCAACGAACCTATATATGAATGAAGTGGTGCAATATGGAGGGAGAGTGATCAGCGGAGTATCCTAATTTGTTGCTCGAAATTATTGGCTCAAAATTAGCCGGGAATTGGTATCCTAATTTATTGGCTCGAATTTGATATCCTAATCTATCCTAATTTTTATAATTCGAATGATTCTTATTTTAAAATTTATTAGGTAAAATTATTAGGTAAAATATTTATATAAAAAATTAGGATAAATTATACTGACACCCCATGAGATTTATATTTATTACAATTCTTTCCTTATATTTGAAAAATTACACTGATCTCCTGTTAATTTAATTTTATGTGTAATGATCATTATAATGAGGGTGAACTGTTATGCAACTTTAAACCTCATGGGACAATTTGTAATGAAACTTTAAACCTCAGGGGAGATGTAATTTTCCAAAGGTGAGGGGGAACTGTAATAAACATAAACCTCAGCGGGTGTCAGTGTAATTTACCCTTAATTTTTTGGGTAAATTACATTAACACCCCCTGAGCAATTTAATTTTTTAAATACCAATTTTTCCATCACCGGATAAATTACGTTGACACCCCTCATATTTTAGAAATTACAATCCCTGCCTAAGGTTTAAAGTAGCATTACTAATTGCCACATCGGTTAGTATTAGTTGGAAAAAAAAATTTTAATTGAAAAAAAAATTAATTGAAAAAAAAAATTTGTTAGTAAAATTTTTAAATTTTTATTTAAAAACCAATGTAAACTCATTTTTTGAACTCTTTCATTTTCTGCAACTTCTTGAGCTCCGTCTGAAGCTTTTCTCGCTCTTCCCTCCTTGTTTTAAGCTTCTCCTCCTTCATCTTCAAAGTCTCCTTTCTTGCCTTCAATAGCTCCTTAGTTTGCTCCTTCTCGATCCTCAACTGTTGAAGTTTTTCTTGCATTTCTTGCAACTCCTTCTCAAAAGATTGATTTTGTTGTTGTTGTTGTTTCACTTTCGTCCCTGCTTTCTTAGCTTTCTTGGCAGATTGAGGCCGTGAGAGGCTTTCATGGTTTTCGAAGGTGGTGGTGGTTGGGATGATGGTGGTGCATGAGAGGAAGGGGAGGATGCCGGAGTACCAAAAGGCGGCAAAAACCTTATTCACCTCTGTGAGAGAGAGAGAGAGAGAGAGAGAGAGAGAGAGAGAAAGACTGTGTAATGGCGTCAAACACTGTCCTGTGTTTTGAAAGAGAATTAGGTAAAAAGTAGCAGTGGTGTCACCAAAAGGCAACGAAACTGTATATGAATGAAATGGTGCAATATGGAGGGAGAGTGATCAGCGGAGTATCCTAATTTGTTGCTCAAAATTATTGGCTTGAAATTAGCCCGGGATTGATATCCTAATTTATTGGCTCGGAATTGATATCCTAATTTATCCTAATTTCCATAATTTGGATGATTCTTATTTTAAAACTTATTAGGTAAAATATTTATATAAAAAATTAGGGTAAATTACACCGACACCCCCTAATATTTATATTTATTACTGAGGGGATGTATTTTCTGAATACCAACACGTGGCAAAGTGACGCCGACGTGTCAGCCGAGGTGCCACGTGTCCTGGTTGTGACGCCGAGATTATCTCGGCAAGGCCGAGGTTATCTCCGAAGATATCGGAATCCGAGATAAATGGATAGGGGCAAGAGTCCTAGAGTAAAGAGGGAACTTTGCTAAAATAGGGATAAAGCTCTTAAGGAGTTTATCTTTATCTCTTGTGAAATCCAAATAGAAGTCAAGCTTCTAGTGGGATCAGGATTGAGTTGGCTATAAAAGAGAGGCACCCCCATGGGTCTAAGGTATGCTTTTTATGCTTAAGCTTGTGAGTTTAGCACTTAATTATCTTTGAGAGATATACTAACTTAATCGTCGGAGTGCCCCCGAGTGGTTGAACCACCGCCGGAGACTTCTCTTTCTGTTGCAGGTTAGCTAGAGGCCATATATTCTGCCAGTGCTTTTCCAACTGATTACTAGGCGGGCAGTGTGGTCAGAAAATCACTCACACAATTTGGCGCCGTCTGTGGAAAACTTAGAAGAATAGATGGCCAATAATGGACAGAAGGAAAACATTGGGGGCGACACTCTTGCTGGGAGTGGCAGACCAATTGACCTTGATATTGAAGGAGACAACCACAATGCAGAAACTCATGACTACGGCCACGGAGAAAAAGACGTCGGCCAGGAGGACGACACTTCGAAGAGGACAGACCAAGGCAAGTACTATAACGAAGATAACCTTCAAGTGTGGAGGGATAGGTGCCTACGGAGGGATGAGGAAGTAAAAGAATTGGCAAACAAGTTGGCAGACCTACAGTCGGTCGTCAACTTCATGATGCAAAACAATGTCATGCAGCCACCATACCCGCTGCAGGATACGCCGATGCCAGTAACTAATACCTAGAAGAGAGGAAGAAGAACAATCCCCGAAGTCCCTCTGCACACCAGGAGCGGAAGGCACTCTCACCGACCTTCCAGGGAAGTCGGACGAGAGGAGCCGAGACGAGAGGAGTCCCGAAGAACGTATCACACGAAGGACCCAGAGCCCAAAGAACATCGGCATGTTCAAGGGCAGGCACTCTGCTTTGACACAACACATGGAGAGAGATCAAAACGAGCCCACCACCAGGCTGAAAGTAATGTGCTGAAAAGATTAAAGTCCAAGGATAGCCGAGCTCCAAAGAGGAGTAAAGAAGACTTGAGAGATTACCTCAAGAGGAAACAACAGAATGCTGAAGCTGAGGTAACTTCCCCGATTAAGCCGAAGACACCATTCTCAGTGGAACTGGACAAATTTGAAGCACCAAAAAGATTCAGTATGCCGAGGTTCCAAATATATGATGGTAAATCAGATCCCAACTTTCACGTTGGACTATGCCTGAATTCAATGGTGTTATATAGTGGAAACGAGCCGTTGCTCTGCAATGTATTCCCCTCATCCTTCGGACAAATTGCATCAGATTGGTTCCATAAACTACCAAAGGGAAGCGTAAAGACTTGGGAAGGCCTGGCCGAGATGTTCGTGGCCAGGTTTGTGACAAATAAACTACAGCCCTTGAGGGTCGACGTACTGATGGCTTTAAAAATCACCAAGGATGAAAGCCTTAGGGCCTATACAAAAAGGTACTACGAGGTGTTCAATCGAATACCTGATTGCAACCAAGAGGTGGCGGTCGTGTCCTTCAAGAACGGCCTGAAAGATGACTGCCCACTACGGAAATCTTTGGCAAAGACATTGCCAAAAAGCATGGAAGAACTCATGGCGAGAATCGAGAAGTACGCCAGAGCCGAGGAGGATACGTCGGGAAATAAAGAAACAAAGCAAGAGAAAGGAAATGGCTCGCTGAAGCAAAGCTGAGGTAACAACGGACCGACCAAACAAGAAATGGAATTGAAGGCTAAACAGGCAGTAAC